AGATCAGGTCCTCTTCCCAACAAACCTCTTGCATGTGGATTTTCATCTCAAACCCAGTTTCTAGGAACCTGATCAAGACAGAAGTGCAAACTATTGTGGGATTACAGAAGGAGGGGTTATCAAGTCAGGCCTGGGCATTTGAAGAAGTGGACGGTCCTGGGATTGGAGGAGAGGGTGGGAAGGCTGGGCAGAGGATGGCAGGAGGCTTGCTGGGGAAGGAGGGGAAGGATGCGTTGTGGAAGAAGAGGTGGTTGGAGTAACTGGGGCTTGAAGAACTCCTAAGGCAGAGGGAACTCGCGCCCATCACTGAGAAAAGATGCTCCTGCTTGCTGCTGCTCTCAGTTTGCTCTGCCCTCTCCAAGCAAGCAGCCCAGCCAGAGAGGTCAGAGATGCCTTGGCCCTGGGTTGCAGCCATGGCAGGATTTACCCAAAGCAATTAGGGAAGAACAGGTTGTATGAAGTCAGGGATCTGAGGGCACTGCAGGGGGCAGGGTGGAATGTGGATGGGGATCCCTAGGAGGAAAAGACCAGAAGGTGACAGACTGTCATGACCAACTCCATGGAGGGCCGGCTGTATCTGACTGAATTGGGAAGGGTTTGCTTTAGTTCCCGGAGTTCCTGATGTAATGGCTGGGCATGTACACAGGAGGCAGGGAGAGGAGAGAGCAGAATGCCTGCTGTGGCCAAGCAGTGCTAGCCAAGACTAGCATCTCCTTCTCTGGCAGGGGCCAGGGCAGAAGGACAGAGCCAGCAAGGAGAAAGCTACTCACAGGGTACGAGAGATTGGGAATAGCAGAGACTGAGAAAGTGGACCAAGGATAGGGTTAGGCAGATGCAAAAGCCTTTACTTTACTTTTAGGCAGATGCAAAAGCCTTTACTTTACTTTCTTCATTTTTGATATAAAACATTGGGGTTTTTATTCCCTGTAGGAGCTGCAAAACAAGAAAAGCCAGTCACTTTAGCTTTCTAGATGGCTAAAGTTTTTGATCATGCTTATTGCTTCTATTTAGTATAAGATTTGTGCAATAAGAGTTCAATTCAAATGACCATGCACATCTAACATATGCCAGGAACTGTGCTATGCAGCCTGGCATCATTTGCTAGCAGTATAGTCAAAGATGAAGCAGTACCTAAATAATTCTCTTTAATGAGAGAATGACAAATATAGCATTTGGTTGATTGTGCTTACCTTGCCGTGGATGTTAGCTACTTTGGTTCTCTAGCAGCAAATACCTATTCATTTCATGAATTTATGAAACACAATATTATTGAATCTCCTTGTGATGACCCACACCGGTGCTGGAAAATACGTGTGCACTGTAAATGGAAAGTGAGGAGACAGAATCCTGAGTGTGCCATACAGTCCAGCGAGGAAAGGCTCATAGTGTGCATCAGCTGCAGTCCCCGCCTCAAGGGTCTTCTATTGACACAGCCACAGTAATGATCCTATCATCATAGCAAGATTCTAGAGTGGCCTCTGGCTTAACCAGAAGGTATTTCTGACTGAATATTGCATCACAGTCTGTATAGTTTAGTGCAAAGTGCTTTCTTTTTAACTCTCAGACTTTAAAACGTTGCTTATTCTGCTTCTGTCTCTTTAGCTATCCTGTTAGCCATTAGTCAGAATAGTTGATTAGGAGAAAGCTAGTCCTGCTTTAGCCAGGCAGACTAAATGTTCACTTTAGGCTATATATGCATTTTTGTCATGCATTTTTTTTGGTAATGATATTTATAAAATAGTTCAATTTAAGGGTTTAATCTTTTATTTAGTAGTAACACAGAGGTTTGCTTTAACTGTACTTAAGGACTATGGATTTTAGGCTTGAGCTTTTACACACAAAGACAAAATACTTTGTTTTTGAACATTAATTACTTTAGATTTGAACATCTTTAGCCTTTAGTTTTCAAAAGGCTTTGACTTTTGAATGTATAGTTTTCTCTAAGAATTTGATAATGGGACATCTCTAGGTTGCAATCATTCTACTATATGAGTGTTTTCATGCAGTTTATTATGGGAGCATTTTACTGCTGTCATTAATTTCACTGCTGAATCTTGGATACACTATATCAGACGATGTGGCTATGCCTAATGTGATATGGGAAATGTAACAGGGAGTGAGTTTTAAGACTTGGGTCTGGAGTTATCCTGGCATCGATTGAATTTGGTTCTGTTCTGATGCACTTCAGAGCCTTCAGGGAGTGATGTCTAAACCATCCTTCAGTGGCTGCAGGAGTGGCATTTAATACAGCAGGTGCAATCTCATATTCTGTTGATGTCTATGAGGGCCATGGCCACTGTGGTTGGCTATGGACTTAACAATGAAGCTGACTGAGTTGAGAGCAAAAAGCTAAAAAATGTAAGGAGAAAACATTTCTTCCCCTTTTCTTATGTTTTCTTCTGTGTTAAAGAAACTCAGTTTGACTTCTAACCTCTCTCCACTCCAGGAGAAGTAGAGTAATTCACCTGATGGGATATGTGAGAAGAACAAATGGGGCATGTTTGGATCCACCCTTCTTCCTCTTGAAAATGAGCTGTCCTCACGGAGCTATGACCCCTTTGGTTCTTCCTGGGAAAGGCTTGCCCCATTCAACTCCACTGCCTGCGTCAGGGTGGGCACATCCACTTCGTTCACTTAGCCCACCTATGTTTTCTTCTAACCCATTTCAGAGCCTTCTGGAAGCAAAACCTGAACTGTCTACCAGTGGTCTCAGGAGATCACAAAGGAGGGGAGTTCAGTCATCTGTTCCATTTGGTAACCTCATCCTCCTAGCTTTTTAGTAATAGGGGGAATATTTTGAATTCCCACCAACAGCTCTTATTTTTAAATTGGACTCCAAGTGTGGAAAATGAAATCAACAGTGGCAAAGGAAATTTATGAGTATGTGGAATAAAAATCCAGTCTCCAAATGTATATGCTAATTTTGAGCATAAAGTACTATTAGGAAAGTGAAGGCAAATAAAATCAACCTTACATCCTTCATGGTGCAGCCTAGCCCCCTGTCCTAGCATCTCTGGAAGCTCCCCCACCCTGGATTCAGTTTGAGTGCTCTTCCTCCATGCTGCCAGCTCACTCTGTGGTCACCTGTCTCACACAGTGCTCGCCATCCTGAATTGAAATTCCACATTTACACGATTGCCTGTGTGTCAGTTTGGGTCCTCCAAGAAGCAGACTCAGAGATGGAATTAGATGTGGGGAGGTTTACTGGGGGATGCCTGTTAAGGGTAAAGGGGGAGGGAACAGGTAGCCAAGGAGAACCTTCAGACCTTGATGCTGGTCTGACACCTGTGAAAAGAGAGAGCAGGACAGACTGGGTTGAAAAAACCAAAGACTGTAGCATGATCCTGGGGGTATTTTGGCCAGGCCAGTGGAGAGTTGCTGAGCCAAAGCTGCCCCCATTAGAAAAACACTGCATTGGGCAGGATCAAACTGGCAGTCATTGGCTGGGAGCAGAACTAGGGGAAGCTTGGCCATGGCAGTGTTGGGGGTCACAGCTGGGTCTGCCAGCTATGTTCCCTGCTGCAGCGGGCTCTCTCTCAAAGATCTATGAGACGTGTTTCTATGACTACCAGAGTCCCTCCTCCAGACAGGAGGCTCTTCGAGGGTAGTGATTGACCTTAACATTTCTCTGCATCCTCGGAGCCTGGACAGTGGGCAGGTCTGACTCACAGAAAGTACTTAGCAAATATCTGTTGAAAGATTGTCAGGAATATATTTTAGAGAGATTTGAAGTTGGGTGAGTAGTCTGTGTTAATTTGGTAGGAAATTGAAAGTGACTGAAGATTTTGGAACAGAGGATCAGAGCTGCACTTAGAGAAGAATGTAGAATGGATTTAAGTGGAACTTACTTTCACAATAGATAGGAATGTGATTAATGGTATGCATAGAAAGGAAGACACTGACAGTAGAAGATTTTGGAGGTGGAGTCTATAGGAATTGGAAACTTATTTGGACTTGGGGTGGGTAAAACAAGGAGTTAAAGATGGCGGTGAAGTTCCCAACCTCAGAGAGTGGGTGCATGGGAAGGGAGGAGGAGAGGAGCTGGCTTTTTAGGGGAAAGTACTTAGTTTGGTGTTAGATTTGCTTAGCTAGAGTTGCTCTTAAAACATCCAGGTGGAAGTATCAAACTGGCAGTTAGAACTGCCTGCCAGAGAGGTCCAAGTTAGAGATACATATTGAGAAAAGGAGGGAACAAGATCAAGGTGAAAATAGACAATGGAGTTCAAAGATGAATTGAAATGGATCTGCTCCATGTTTTGCAGATAGCTACTAGGCCATTGTGTATTCTTTTGTAGGATTGAATAAAACAGAATGACACTGTTTTCCTTTGATTCTTTGGTGATAAAGAGGGATTCTTCTTAGCTTTATGCTTTTCCTCCTAAACTGTGGGCTTCTAAAGACTGTATCTTTTCACCTTTGATGCTCAGAGAACAAGCACAGCGATTTGCACAAAGTTTGTGAACTTCTGTAGGGTAGAGACCTTGCTCATTTATCTCTGTCTAGTGTCTAAAATGGTGCCTATACAATAGGAGGCACTCAGGTAATAGACATCAAATTGAATTATTGAATCTGTATAATACTTTATAATTTGGTAAGTCTTTGAAGATATATTGTAACACTTAATCCTCACAATGAGGCTGGTCATTACCCCCACTTACAAAGGAGGAAGCTGAACTTTAAAGAGGTCAAATAACTTACTTGAAATCATACAGTTGTTAAGAGGCTGTATCAGTCATCATAGGCCAGATTATGCTTTGTAAGAAACAAACTTGAAAAACTCAGTGGTTTCACACATAAAGTTTTATGTATTATTTATGTAAGGTCCATTGAGGGTCTGGGAAACCTCTGGAGAAGCTGTCCTCCATTCCGATGGCTCGGAATTCCAGGCTTTTTCAATCTTCTGTTGACAAGTGCTTCCACAGTTGCAGCAGAAGAGAGAACAGAACACAGAATCACACGCTGATTCTGAAATGCTTCCACTGGGTACTGAATCACATGTCTTTCATTCACATCTCATTGGCCCACAATGCCACAGGCTTCCCCTAACTCCAAGAGAGCAGAGAAGAGCAGTCTCCCTGTGTGCCTGGAGGGAGAACCAGAACTGTTGGTGAGTAGCTAGATCGCCTGTCACAAATGCAGAACTACATCTGGAACTTAGATTTATGATTTCACATGTAGGCTGCTTTTTGTTCTTTGCCTCAAGTTTCATTTTTTACTAAGCATATTCAGAACACTGTTGACATTAATGCTAGTTAAAATAATTTAATATCCTGAAAAACAATCACGGTCCTCACCCTTTCCTCCTGCTTTCTCATGCCATAGGCCTAACCTCTGTCTCTTAGCCTTGGGCCTTAGAGTATAAAGGCTCAAAGATACCTGAGACATCAGGGAGATACAGATCCCTTTTTTAGGCATAGAGATGGGGTTTAAACACATCAAATGAACACATCTCTCATCCAAAGATGAGAGATACATTGATACACATGGTGGGACCTCACTATCAGCTGGGACATCCCTCCTACTCTCCAGTAGAAGGTCTGATAAAGGACACACATTAGGTTTCAGACCTCATGGGGTTTCCCATCTTTGTGCAAGTTCAAATCCATATCTTGGGATTGTATTCCATTATGCCCATCCTTATGGGAGCAGGAACCATACCCTGTTTATGTGATAAGAGGAAGAATATGACCAGGACTCCTAGGCAGTACAGACAGAGGAGACATTAGTATTAAGTGGGCTGGACAGACAGCGAGACAGACATAGGCATGAGCTATTTACACAGATGGAACTCTCAACTACTATGTATGTGGCCCAGTAAAAAGTCTGAGAACTTGATCCATCAGATCTATGCTGAGAACATCTCCTCCAACCACTCATATTTTAGTTACCAGAACATTGATGTGTGTTTGGGGTTCGTGGCTAATTAGAAGCTGAGCTTCTTTGACTCCAGTCCAGAATGGCTGCCCTTTGACTTACAACTTTGGAAGGACCCTGAAGTGAAATTAAGACTCCAGGGTCTGTCATTAGAATGATAATGAAAGCTAGCATCACTGAGCTGTCATCATGTGCCAGGCCTAAGTGCTGAGGTTGTTTTATTTAACCTCACGATATTATGGGATAGGGGCTTTGAACATCCTTTTTCACCAATAGAGAATATATGGTTCACAAGGGCAGATTTTTTTGGTCTCTTTTGCTGGGTTTTTATTGCCTAGACCTGTGCTCGGTATATGAATGAAAAAGCCTAAATTCATTCAACTGATGAGCAGAGGAGCCAGCAGAGGAGCCCAGGTGGTGGATTTCAAGGCTTGTCCTCTGAATCATTATATAACGTGGCCCCTTGTATATGTCTGGCACTTATTAACTATGATGTACAGCGTTTGCAAGTCACTGCGTGTTTATTAGCCTCGTTCCTTCCTCCCCCAGCACACTAAGAACACCTTGAGAGACAGAGATGACGCCCGACTCCTCCTGCATGTCCCCTGCCTTGCGAGGCTGGGGAAACAGTAGGTGTGAATGACATGTTGATTGGTTGCTTGGCTGCAGAGTTGTGCTCATACCCTGGGGAAGGCGGGAAAGGCAGTCACAGGTTTTGGCAGCTGCTGTTAACTTCCCTGGGGGAGGTTCCATCTCCCCACGCCTTCTTCAGGAGACCTCGCCAGTGCCCTTTCACTGCTCCACTAGGGGGACCCCAATGCAAACAAAAAACCTCTCCTGCCCTCCTAAGGTAATGGGATCCCCGCTACAGCCCTCGGGATGGGTCTGCCAGCGTGGCTCCAGCCAACCTGGAGAGGAGTGCCTGCCCCGGGCCTCTGCTGGGCTCTGGTTTTGCTTTCTCCTTGCGTGAAGGCCGCGTTTACAATCAGGGCTCTTGGAGCGAATTCCACCCTTCTGGGGCCAGGACTGCTCAGTTCTTGGGATTCCTGCCGCTTCTGCTGGTGCTGACATATGGGTTTGTCTTATGAGCAGAGAAGATGGATTTTGAAGGGCTGCCAGGTTGGTGATGAGGCTGCTCTGGTTTCACGTGGGAAGCCCTGAAATCAAGATCTAGTACAGGAAGGATACTCGATCTTTTCCAACTCTCCTTGCCTCCTCTCGAAAGTCAGGGGGCCTTAACCACTTTGATATTTCAATGAGAGGCCACTCAAAGTTTACTTCTTCCTTTCCTACCGCAACAAGAACTGGCTCTCACAAGGGCAACTTGACTTGTTGAGACAAGAATGATCTATTTTGACAACTAACCTCACAGGGATGGATGTATTTGTGCAACGTTGGGCAGTTATATTTTATTATTATGTTTTAACGCTGTGCTGTGGAACATTTTTCTTTTCTTTTTTTCAACAGCTTGCAAGCCTGCTGCGAGCATTTGGGAAAATTCTCAGTTATATATTTTCTGTCATAAAAAATCTGATACAAGTGATTTCTTCTTCTCTCTGATCTCTAATTAAATTGTTTGATTTAGCTTTTGTTAGAGAGGTCTTATTTCTTTTAGGATCTGATATTTTCCTTGAAGGAGAATGATATAGATGTTTTCAATGAAACATATTTAGTGTTCTAGGGTTTGAAGAAGTTTTATAAATACTGGTATAGACCAATAATGGCTCTGGCAGAGAGGGGTTCCTCAGGCTCTTTGGATTAAAGACTGGGCAGAGGAGATTGATTGGTATTAAAACCAGGTGGGGCCAAATCATTTCATGGAATTTCAGCCCTAGAAGAAGGGGTTCTTAGAGATGTTCTTATTTAACAATTGCATTTGATGAGTAAATTATGGTCTGGGGGTAATGAATTGCCTTGGCACAAAGCTGGCCAGTTACTAAGGGCACCTGGCCATCACTTGTCAGGATATCACAGATTTTTGGTGTGAACTGAATACTGGGGTCCTCAGACATCCTCATTCTGGAATGGGGTTCTGAGCAGAGAGACACACAAACTAAAAAGAGTTAGAGCCAAGCCAGGGCAAAGGCAGAGCCCCAAAGAGGTGACCCTTTTGTTCCAGCTTCCTAGTCTGTCTGTAGGACAGAACTGAGGATGAATGTATTGCCTTCCTTCCCATGGCTTTTCGTTTTATAATTAGTCTGTCAAGGAAGGATGTGGAATAAAGAAAGTAAATCAGGGAGGGAAAAGGGATCTCTGTGTGAGAAAGATGATACATTCTGGTGACTCGGTGTCCTGTAACCTGCAGAGGATATAGATGGGACGTGGTGGGTAGCTCTGTCCAGGAGCGCAAAAGGCCAGAAGACTCTCTGGAAGGTTGTGTCCAAGAACAGAGGGCACACTCAACAGTCGTGCTTCAACAATCATTTCATAAGACCACTGGGTGGTAGTTACTGTGGAATGTGTTGGAAAATACCACCTGGCATTTGTATGCAACTTTTTGGGAAGATATGGGTGAGTCACACAAGGACCCACAAGGCCAGGACCCAGAGCTGCTCTACAGGCAGACTAGGAAGCTGGAAGAAAAGGGTCACCTCTTTGGGGCTCTGTCTTTGCCCTGGCTTGGCTCTGACTCCTTTTAGTTTGTGTGTCTCTCTGCTCAGCACCCCATTCCAGAATGAGGGTGTCTGAGGGCCCCAGTATTCCTTGGCCAGGGGAATATTGAGGCACCTTGAAGGGATGGCCCTTCAAAGCTGTATCCAAAGCAAAATCTGGGTGTTGTTGATAGAAGAAATGGGGATAAGCAACAGATGTTCCCCAAAAGCCCAGTAAGGTGGGGTATTAGATGAAATGATGACCTCCATGGTACAAATGGGAAACCTGAGGCTCAGAGAGGTGAAGTGATTTGTTCAGTGTTACACAGCTGTACATAGCAGAGCACAGGTATGTCTCCAGCTCCTGTTCTTTATACCAGAAGGAGCAGGTGAAGTTTTTTTTTGCACGTAATCTCTCTCCATTCTTACTGCTGTGTCACTTGCTTCCTAGCCCTCCTCCAAGGAGCTCCATCACCCCATCATCACCTGCCATCACTGGACCACGAGACTTAGGCTTCTACTCCACTCTTGGATCCCCAAATTTCCAAGTACCAGTGTCATAAACCGAGGAATACCTCACACTGTGTGCCAGTGGAATAAGAGTCACTCCAGTTTGGCCTACTGGACGCTGTGAAAGTCCTCTCTCACTTCTTATCTCACTGATTAACTTATTCTTGGGGATCTGGACCTTGGAGGAAGGATGTCAGGGGACCTAGGGAAGTCACCTGTGCAGGTTTCTTTGAGATGAGGCTGCCTACAAGTGGCACCTGGTTATGGATTCATGGCCCTGCCACAGTATCACTATTTAGAAGTCAATGAACTTTTAGAAACAATGTTTCAAAAATATATGCTCTCCATTGTCTATAGTAAAAAAAAAAGAAAAGCCCATATTCACTTGCTTAGCTCTATGATGCATCACTTCCAGTGCCTGGAGTGACTGATGTTTACAGAAGGCTTCTGAGTCTCTGGCACCGCGGGAAAGCATTACCTGCTCTGCCAGCGACATCTGCTGTGAGCACCGGGTGGAGAGGGTGGCGCCTGGGCATTCCTTGGACTTGATGTCCCTGACTGAAGCTTCCCAGGTGCTTCTCCCAACCTACCATTCTTGCTCCATCTCCCCATCCTCCTCTATGCTTTCACTACCCTCTGGTGTTAAAGTTTAAAAAGTTGAAATTAAATGAATTCTTTCTTCAAATGAAATTGCATACAGAAGCCCAGTAGATAAAGCAGATAAAACTGAGTTATTCTGGAGAAAAAACGGGAGAGCTCTCTGAGTCTACCGTGGTCCTGAGACCCTGCCTTGGAATCCCAGTGGGCCCAATGCTTTAGCCACAATCCCCTTCCTGTACGTTCCTGGACATGCCCCACCCTTCCTCCCTCCTGGCTTTCCCCCTTCCTTTTCCATTAAACTGGAATCATGTCCTGCCCATCATTCAAGATCCCAGGAGTCCCCTCTTCCCTAACTTCCATAATACACTGTGGCTGGATGCATTCTCTCTGGCAACCATAGCATTTTGCTTGATCTGCTCTCATGGCTTTTAGAGTTGCTCATTCGAGCACAGTATTGCTGTAGCTGCCTCTGGGTAGGTTCATATGTGTTGAGCCCTCTGAGGTCTGTGCAGTCAATTCTGGTGAAAATGATAATATTTTTATGCATGAAGGTTATTTATTTTGTTTTTTACTTTTTGCATTCTTTGTAATTTTCTACTTCCTATATCTGTCTACATATCATTTCTGGACATCTTTTTGTTTTCATAAAATTGGGGCAGTGGTATTATCAGCTTCAGAGTTTCTGAAATGATGTTAATTTAATTTATGCAAAGTGCTTATAACAGTACCTGGCACAGAGTACGTGCTCAGTAAATATTAGTTATTATTATACTATTATTGTAATTTTTATGATCTCATCACCATTAGGATAACAACACTTCTCCAATTGACTTCATAGCCAGGTTCTAGCCAGAGGGGAGGCCTGCATTTGCTTTTCACTCGGATGCATGAAGAAGTGAACCTTTTGACTCTTGGCTTGGAGGCTGGGTATATGAAGTGAGAATTAGTCATGGCCTTGTTCACAATCTGAGAACATTCACACTCTCGCACCTGCTTGGAGAAGCTTGACTTCAACCAACAGATTTCACATTTCCCAACCCCCGCCTGGGGAAGAGCTTGACTTAAAAAGTCTTGCAGAGGCCTCCTCTCCACAGCTCAGTGGTTTTATTCAGGAGCGGGCCCCTCCAGGGAGCAAGTGAGGCAAGCTCTGCTGAAAGGCAGGAGAAAGCTGTGTCAGCTGCAGTCATGTTTTCTCAGGCAGGGTTCTCTCGGGGCACCCATCCTGATCTGTTCCCAGCTTGCGCCTTCAAGCCCAAGCAGCAATAGAGCATCCTTTCGCTAAAGAGACCCAGGACATTCAGGAAACTGCTCCTTGGAGAGAAGTATATTGGGATGCCAGGTTCTTGGCTGGAATCATTAAGTGAATTTACAACCCGATCTGCTATAAATAAAGCATCCCCCAGTTAGGAAGGGCGTTAGCTGAGTCTTAGTGCTTACGTTAGGGATACTTTGTTTTTTCTTTGTCCTATCTATTGGCTTTCCTAATTGCTGGACAATTGCACTCCTGTATTTACCATGTTCTGTCTTGCCTTTGGGTGTTTATCTAGAAAAACTGCCCCCTCTCCTTTTCCCATCCTCCATACCAGCCATTTAGTTTTCAATTTCAACACCATTTTCCCCAGAAGTTTCCCTCGATGCCCAAAGACTTTGGATGCTGTTTTTTTCCTTTAGGATCATGTATCTGTCTCCACCATGAAGCTCCTAACACTTGGCCTGTTTCCTTGTCTATTTCTCCCACTGAAACAATCACCTGCAGGCTCCCAGGAACTGTGCTGTTTGTTCAAGGCTATAATTCTGGGGCTTGGCTGGTGACCTGGTCAGAAAAATGTACAACTTAATGAATACAAGAAGAACCCGATAAATGAATGAATAAAAGAATCAATAATAAATAGTTATTTCTGCTTATCTCATTTTTAGTGATCTTACCCAAGAATGAGAGGATGAAGAGTGACACAGAAAAATGGATCTTCACATATTTTTCCATGGTAGCGTCTTTTCGATACTAAAATTGTGTGCAACACCTCCAGTTTTGGAACAGATAAAATCAGGGATTTTCTGTTGACAGGAGGGGTTGGGCCCTGTCTATTTCACATTCTCTTTCTTCCTTTGGGGGTATCTAGGCTCCTTGGGTAGAATTTGAAAACAACTGTGTCTAAAAAGACAGTACTGTTTTGAAAAGAACTGAGCAGAGGAACCACCATCCAGCTGGGGTCCTGATTCCCTGGTTAGCTGTGGCTGATGGAAGTTATTACCACATGACCGCTGGGCCAGCTGCTCTGCTAAGTGCTTTTTTATATCAATTTTTCATCCTCAAATAATCTTATGTGGTGAGCATTATGCTTACTTCTGTTTTGGAAATGGAAGCATAGAGAGGTTAAGTAGCTCGCTTGAAGTCCCACAGCTACTGAGTAGCTGAGACCAGGGTCAAACTCCAGATTATCTGCCTCTGGGGGCTGAGCCCTGGGCAGCCACGTGAAGCTGAGCAGCAGAACTGCCCATAGGAACGTCTGCTGTCCACACAGCGTGCAAGGTTGTCCACACAGCTGGCACAGCGTGCCAGGCACTGTGCTAAGTTGTTCATGGGCGCAATTAGCTTGTTCAGTCCTCAACACACCTCTGTGAAGTGGGGGCCTTATTGCCATGGCGTCACATCAATGCTAGCATCTATCTATGCCCTTCTCAGCGGGTTATCCTGGGCCTCCTATTGCCAACAAGGGGGTTGAGTAGAAAGCGATTAGCTCAATGTTTGCATACCTTTTGTAAAAGGATGACTTTTTTCTTTTCTCTTTTAAGAGAAGTCTAGATTACTTGAGACCAGTGATACTAATTAGGCTTGGCTGCCTCAGCAGGATAAAGCAAATCAACCAATCTACTTTTGGAAGCAGAAGATGGGAAAGTGGCTGCTCCTGAGCTCACTGTGCACCAAGGGACAGATCCTTGTTTCATAGAAATTGTCTATGAAAATTCCCCTGGATGAAGGCAGGAGGGAAATCTGGCACAAGCCCCAGAGCAAGATAAAGACATTTGAAAATCCTTTCAGAAATCATAACTTGGATGCCCCATTTCTGCCTATTGCCTCTGAGAAATCCGACCTTCTGTCTCATAGGTTCTCAATGCACAGGACAGGCTCCAGAATGAGATGGCAGAGTAGAAAGTGTTGCTGCTTGTCACAGTGGACAACTCCAAACCTCATAGACCACTCTCTGATTAGACTCTCAGGCTGAGCACCTGTGTTAAAAAGTCCAGTGTGAGGTGTCGTCCTTTGTCCCATCTTCCTTCAGGGGAATCTTGGTGTACTATGAAAACAGAAAGCTTCAGCCAACACAGTGAAAAAGGAAAGAACTAAGGGCAATGGTATTCTTTTCAAAAATTAAGATGCAATTATGATACTGTGATATTCCTTAAGGCTGTTCATAAATATTTTGGTTCTGTCTGGGGCCATAGGATTGTTCATTCTTCACCTCATTAATGTTAGGCTGTGTGATATGCTGTGGTCAATGCAATATCAGTGAAAGTGACATGTCTCAGCTCTGAGAGGAAATGTGAAGAGCCAGGGTGATTTGCTGTGCTTTCTCTTTCCCTTTGCCACAATGACAGGAACAATTGACATGGTGGCTGCGTCTTTGGCTTAGGCGTGACGGCTAGTTTTATGTTTCACCTTGGCTAAGCTGTGATGCCCAGTTGTTTGGTCAAACACCAGTCTAGATGTTGGTGTGAAGGTATTTTTTTAGACGTGATTAATGTTTAAATCAGTAGACGATGAGTAAAGTGGATATTATCCTCCATAAAGTGGATGAGTTCATCTAATCCGTTGAAAGCCTTAAAAGCAAAGAATAAGGTTTCCCAAAGAGAAAGGAATTTTCCTCAAGACTGCAACACAGAATCCTTGCTTGAATTTCTAGACTCCTGCCCTGTAGAATTCAAATTCAAGACTATAACAAGTCTTACCTGAACTTCCAGCTGGCTGGCCTGCCCTGCAGATTTTGAACTTGCCAGCTCCACAATCATGTGAGCTGATTCCTCAAAATAAATCTCTCTCTGTCTATGTATTTATCCTATGGGTTCTGTTTCTTTGTCCTATTTCCCTGACTAATACACTGGGTGAAGATGAACATGAGCAGAGCACCCTGCCAGCTCAGAATGGAAATGTAGTGTGAAGAGGAAATAAACATTTGTTGTTAAAAGCCACTGAGATTTTGGGGTTGTTTGTTACTGCAACATAACCTAGACTGTTTTTACTGTTAAGTACACTCCACATAATCTTTTCCATTCATCTATTTTTTCCCTATACTTTTTCAGGAGTACAACTGAATCTCAGCTAGACACTGTAAAGCACTTTGGCTTACATGAACTTCAAATCATTCCGGGGATTACCCTTTTTCTAAATATTGGTTTGAAATATCAAAACCAAATCTACACAATAGTGGCTGGAAGTAAGAAAGGTTGGAAGAAAATTAGCATTAGCTGATGGCTTACTCTTGAACTGGGTACTGACCCAGGCATATATTTTCTCACTTATTAATATTTCTAAAACCATTTTTAAGGTATGTGCTGTGGGTTGAGTGTGTCCCCCCAAAAGCATGTGTTGGAAACTTAATCCCCAATGCAACAGTGTTGGGAGGTGGGGCCTAATGGGGGGTGTTCATATTTCACCCTCATGAATGGTTATAAAAGGGCTTGAGGCTGAGTTTGATCTCTTGTCCTCTCTTGCCCGTTTGTTTTTTGCATGGGATGATGCAGCAAGAAGTCCTTCGTCAGATGTGTGGCTCCTAGACCTCAGACTTCCCAGCCTCTGGAACTGTAAGAAGTAAATTTCTTTCAAAAAAATAAATTACCCAGTCTGTGATATTCTGTTATAGCAACACAAAATGAACTAATTTTTTTATTATATTATTTTTATAGATGAGAAACCAAAGCCAAGCATACAAAATTAGTGAATGTCACAGGTAGCATTTAGAGTCATAATGATGTGTTTTAAAGCCTATAGTAATTCTGTCAATTAGGATTTTTAACAGCAGAAAAGAAATTTATTACAATAGCATCAGGCAGCTCACAGGACTGAGGGGAGGGAGAATGAGGTTTATAAAAGGGCACCTATGATGATGCTGCCAGGAGTCTAGGAATCAAGAATACTTCAGTGGTCTCACTGGAAGATGCTGCTGGAATGCATGTGCTCGTTCTGGTGTTTTAGGTTTTTCTGCCATTTCTGGTTAAGTTCAAGAAGTCTTGAGTTCAGCCATCCTAGCTTAGATCACTACCTGGCACTTGCATCGACAATCCCAATAAGACTACTTAGGTAGGTGACTCCTCAGAAGAAAACTTTTTGTTATCACAAAAAGTGTCTGTGTGTATCTGTGTGTCTGTGTGTGAGAAAAGGATGAGCAAATATAAAACTTGGTTTTGTTGGAAGAGTCCCAGTTCTCTGCCTGTTGTCCTGATATAATTATTAATAAAGGCCACCTTCATTCTTAAATATATCCTTATTTAGAGAACAAATTATGGGATCACTGAATAGCACTCCCAATACACAACCCTCTTACTTTCCTGAAGCCTCGAGTGGATGAAAGGAGGCATTTCATTATCAGGTATGGGGGATCATTAGAGGGTGATCTTCAGATTTGTTTTTGTTAAGTTCCTAGTAGTGTATTTCTAAGCTCTTAAATCATCTTTAGCTGATTGGTTATCATCTAATTCTATCAGCTAGAAATTATATGTGCTCTTTGCTGATGAGTGAAGAATTATGCTGTTTCTACTCTAATTGTGCAGTCTGATTCTCTCTGATGAGAAGGACCAGTGGTGATCTGTTAGCTGGAACCACTCCCAAGCTTTGTGTAGGGCTTTGATTGTTCTAGAGACTAGACTGAGGGCATGTGTCTAGTTGGCTATAACTGTGAGCGTGTCCTATAGATTCAAATTCTTAAATATCTTTAGAACCCATCTGTTAATACTTTCTTCTATCCTCACTGCTAGTACCTTGATTCATATTGCGACTGTCACCAGGATTACCACGACTGCCTCCTGACTGGCACCTGGCTGTCCTTGTTGCCTCTGGTCAATGCATTCACTGCATGGTGATCAGAGTGATTTTTATAAGCTGAAAGCCTTGTTATGTCAGCTGCCCTGCTCTGATAAGGTCCTATTGCTCTTGGTTCAAGTCCAAATGCCTTCCCCCAGCCTGCAAGCACCTGCGTAACCTGGCCCAGCCTAACTCCTTAGCCTCTTCTCTCAGACTCCCCACCTTGTGCCCTTTCTTTCTGATTCTCCAGGACTCGGTATTTTTGAAGATGTTGTTCTTTCTGTCTGGACATCTCTCTGTTTTCCTGATCCCCACCAGCTCCAACTTATCCTCCGTTCTTAGCTTAGCATTGGGAAAAATCGTCTTATTAATATCTCACCTACACAGAGCACTTATTTTTATGCCAGATGCTATACTAAGGGTTTCCCACGGAGGATCTCATTCAATCCTTTCAGCAATCCTAGCAAGTAGCTGCTGCTGTGGGGCGCGGTGTTAACGCCATTGCAAGATGGCGCCGACTTCCTGGTCACACCCATATTACAAGACTGATAAACAGGGTGAACCGCGCAGGTGTAGGGGCTTTTTCCTGTCTCTCATCAAGTATGCTAATAAGGGCTCTTGCGTGAGCCAATCAGATTCTGCCTAATGAACTTAGTGCCTATATAAGCCTGCTCCGAGCGCTCCTCGGCGTTTTCCGCATGTAACCAGTTAAGCAATCCCCATTAAAGCGCTGTCAGAAGAACTCCGGTTGCCGTGTCTTCCTTGCTGGCGAGGCGGGCGCGACATGCTGCCATCATTAGCATCCCTATTTTACAGATCAGGAGATTGGGGTGCAGAGATGGCAAATGTCTTGCCAGGATACATAGCTAGTAGTAAGAGGTGAAGCCAGGATTTGAGCCTGGTGAAGCAGACACAGAGCCTTTTCTCTTAATCTTGTGCTAGGTGGATTTTTGAGCACTTCCTCCAGGTGGCCTTTGCTTTCCCTGGCTTTCTAAGTCAGTGTTAGGTGCCTCTTCTCGGTGTTCTGTAGCACAGAACTTTCTCTAGCATAGCCCTCACCACTCTTTACTGTAATGGTCTGTTTATTTATTTATTTTTTTCTATAGCGTTAAGTCCCATGAGTTTAGTGTCTGCTTCATTCTTTCCTACTCAAGTAGGTATAGTTCTTTTCACACAGTAGGTGCTCAATAAATTTTGGTTGAATGGATGATTAAAACTAAGATGTTGGTGTTTAGGTCTTGAAAAGTCATCAATTATCTCTCCCATCCTGCCTCTGTACCTGGTTCCTCACATCATTCTCCATTACCATTGGCCCAGGAACTGTTTCTACTACTGTATTAGATTCTATTAATAATATCCCCTCTTCTAGGCTTTGCCTGTGAGATTTCCTCCATGCAAAACTCTCTCCTTTCTCCTCTCTGCTAACTCATGGTCTTCTTGCTTCCAAGGCCAGTAGGGCATGAGTCTTCTCTGACTTACTCAGCAGGCTTCTCTTTTCCATTTCCCATCACCAGGAGCCTGGCCATGGGTGTGGCATAAGCCCACGATGTTCCTCTAGATGTGCTTTCCTCTCATCACTAATATGACGACATATTGCCAATGACTCCATGATTACCTCTCCCATTCTCTTTTGCAGGTGGGAAGAAACCTTTCGATTGACTTCAATTTTGGCCAATGAGATAAGTGTTGTGAGTGAACTCAGGAAGTGTTCTTAAAGAGCAGAGGCATGCCTTTCTTCTTACTTTTCCTCCCTGCTACTGTCAAAGCCATAGCTGCAGCTCTAGCAAAGCACCCTGGACCATGAGAACCAGAGCTATCCTTCAGAGATGTCTGTGTGGCTCGCTAGAAGGAGCCTGAGTCCCAGACAACTTTGTGTTGCTCCCATGCCATCCCTGGACTGTCTAC